TGCTAGTATAAGGGTTTCTGATGACTCATTGCCATAGCAACTGAACCTTGACTCTAAGACAAAACTCAGGCCAAAAAACATCAGCTCAGGATGGAATCAATTTTGAAGAGATCCACTAAGATCCCATATGCCAACCAAAAATAAGTGACTGATAACCCAGAATCTGTAACTCAGCTGGTCTGACACCTCATTCTGTATTACTGTAGCTCTAGGAAAGTAGAAACACTGAGAAGTATAAAATACAAGGAAGGTATAAAACAAGTTTATAAATAATGAAGACATAAATCAAACCCATAGTATAAATATTTCTTGATCATTTAAGTATAGGTGTAATACATTTTGAATCCCATTGTGATTACTTGTGTGTTTATATGCACGTATGTGCATGCTGTCTGCTTTTGAATTTTCTGAAGTTTTTAAATGAAATTGATAGAGATTTTATCAAAATATTTAGGAGCAGCTGTCTACTTAAATTTGTAATCAGCAATTAAAGATTTAAGATGATTTGATTCCTAAAGTATGTTTTGATTTATCAGTGGCAAAAGTAGTGTTTGAATGTTGAGGAAAAAATTTAATAATGAATAAGATTACAAACGTGAGCAATTAAAAAGTTACCAATAGTAGCAAGTGTTTTCCCTACACCTGGTCACTAAAGATCCTTGATCATTAAAGATCCTTGGTCACTAGAGATCCTAGAAGATGTTATTCTCTGATTTTTTCCTAGTAGGAATTTTGCCTTTCAATATCAGATCATACACCCAAGGATGGGGCTCTGATTTCTCCTTCTTTCCCCCAGAAGTGCAGGGCTGGGTACACACTCCTGTTGGCTTAAACTGAGATTCAGTAGGAAATCTATAAAATAATGATTTTCCATTGTCTACTTCAGTCATTTTTGAGTAAAGGTGGAATGGTTACCAATAATGAAGGAAGCCCTGATCTCAGTCATACATTGAAAACAAAGAAGCATAAAATATAGCCCTACCCTCCAAGACCTGAGCAAGGAGTGAAAAGAGGTAAGGCAGACTCTGGTACAACCATAATCCTGTTTACATCTCTGATACACCAAGTCTTTACTGGGAACACCATAGAGGAAATGTGGGTTTTTGTACATGTCCTCCACCCAACAACAAAAAAACAAATGAGGTGTGCGATGCCTCTAACAGAGATTCGGGGACATTTTCAACAGAGATTCGGGCACATTTTCTTACTTTACAGGGTCAACATTTTCAACGTTTATCTTGACAAGTAGTCGTGGCTTAGTCTGACATGCTTTTTTGGAGCATCATAACTTGAACTTAGAGAATTGGTTTGAGTTGATCACAATAAAGGCAGAGATGAAATCCCATTTACAAAACTGCAGTGCCAGAAAAAGCAAACCTCTTGTATAACAGTCCTGATCAATGTGTTAGCTACTCCACACAATATTCAATATTCCCACAAAAAGATACTGGCACAACAAAGGCTGTGGACAGTGTCTTGGAGCCTCTCGTAATGGGATTTGACAAAAGCCAGGCACTTTGGGCAGGCTCCATCAATGTTAATTGAAGCAGAAGTGATTCAAAGACAAATAGGAGTCCTTGAGAGGTGACAGGGTGGTTTGGGGATTGTGACTCTTTCCTTTTCCCATTACCCCTTTATATTTAATTACTTGTTCTAGCCAGTGAATTGTAATTTGATTTGCCATTAGGTGACTCTCTGCTTGGTCTCTTATGCTAGTTGAGTCTTTCACTTAAAGGAAAAAATGTCCCATAGCCTGTGATGGTGCCTGTTTCATAGGAAGGAAAGTATCCCCTGGCAAGTGGGTCTCTAATTGATAAGGTCTCCTTTTCAGTTCCTAACACTGCAGAGGTATTTGTATTTGTGTGCAAGTTAGCTACTTATTGGAGAGGTGATCCCAGGAAACACTGGTTGAGAAGTGAGGTGTTAAACAAGGAAGGAAAGCAGCCAGCAAAAGTGGGTTCACAAACTAGTTCCCACCATGGGCCACCGAAGTGTCACCTCACTGGGGACCTCAGAGCCAGCTTAGAATGCACCTCAGTCCGTCTCTCCAAAGGGTGAGGGAGGTGGGGCATTTATATACCAACGTTCCTCAGTCCTGGTTGAGGGCTAGACTCACTGGGGAGGGGAGAACGCCCTAGAACTTCTGGCCTGGGATGCACACAGGTACCCCAGCCCGAGAAAGCCCTCAGAAATAGGGACAAGGAGCCAACTGCGTCCGCTACAATCTGCCTGCAAATATGTAAACTGCTTTCAACGCCAGTGGTCCTTCAGAAAGACACGCCATAACACCTCCTCCTTGATAAGATGTTGGAGGGAATTAGGAAGAGGTTATTTCCATCCCACTTGATGATACCCTTAATACAGATCTTAGGAACTAAGGTTAGAGTCAGTATAGTTTTGCTGAAGAATCTAACATCGTGTCGCCTCTAGTAGGTGTCCGTTCATTTACCCTTGAGGTAGCTCCTGGGCTCAACGTTCCTGTCCACTAGGCCCTCCCCTGGGTGCATCACTCTGGAACATCAGAATGCTAAAGAGAGGTCGAATTCAGCACACAGTGGGCTGAACCTAGATCCCACTCAGAAATAGGCATATTTTTTAATTTAAAAAATACTAATTTTTAAAATAAAACCTTTAATTTTCATATTGATTCGCTGTTAGTTGGCATACATTTGCCAAGCTTAGACAATAATTGTAGGAAGCAGGCAGGAGAGGATGGTAATCAATGGCCCCAAGTTACAAGGCAGGACAATGAAGTTCCCTAGGTGAGGCTCTAAGTCAGAAGGCAGTAAAGCAGACAGGGGCTGGGACCCAGGTGAGGGAACACTGAGCACAGTGGTAAAGTCAGGCAGTCCTGGGGCATCCCAGCTGGGACTCCCACCAGCTGGGGGGGTCTGGCCCAGTGACCCAGCCATTCGTACCTCAGTTTCTCATCCAAGTAATGGGAGGTGACAGGACCTACCTCATGTGCGTTTTGTGACAATTAAATGAGCCAGTGCTTGTAAAGTGCTGTTCCCAGTGCCCAGTATGTGGTAAGGACTTAATAATTGTTACTTGCTCTTGTGTTATTATTACCATTTTAATGACTTCAAGGTAGAAAGTAGGAAATGTTCTTTCTACTGTGCATGGCTTGAAGTCCAGCATAATACCCGTGGGACTCTAATACGTACCACGGCAATCAGAGCAAATTCTGCTGCCACCCAACATGGGATGAGTTACCTTAGCTCTGGTCTGTGTGTCACATTTGAAATCTCATGTGTGCAAGCAGAGAGTGCTTGGGGTTTTCTGGAAACTGCTTTCTACTTAGGTGGCAGATCCAGTCTGATGAGGCCTGGGTGGAATTCTTCCCTGAGGTGAATGAGACCTCTGTGCCAGTACTTAGAAGACTCGACTGCCCTTGGATGCCCTGGGCCTGGTGGCGAAAACAGGTGAGAAAGGTGGCATCTCACACACCTGAGTGCATGTCAGTTTCACTTTGTGTAAGGGCAGCAGCGTCGTCCCTGAGGAGGGCGTGCAGCCCTACCCTGTCCTGCAGGAGGGACCGAGGTGTCTGGGTACAAGGTCCAGGCAGGGGCTGGCAGTCTCCTCCCCTGACTTCTGCCCATGAACCTCCACGTTTCCTTCTAAACGCTTTCAGCAAGGAGACCTAAGATGACACTCAGAGGTTACTCAGTGCTCTCAACCAAAGGCCAAGTCTAAGGAATTCAAATGTTCTTTCAATTCTTTATTAAGAAATAAAATCCCCACCATTCATTGAGTGTGGCCCCAGCCCAGTGTGTGTATAATGTGTGAGAACCATGCCTGTGACGTCCTTTTATGGGCACTTAGCACCATCACTATGGGAAGCACCATTATCCTCATATTTCCACATATTTTGTGTATGAAGAAAAGGAGGTTCAGAGAGTGTGTGTCCTCAAGTCTCACAGAAATAAATGGGGCTCCAGAATTAGAGCATGCTGGCAGACGGCAGCACACTGGCCTCACAGGGCAATGCCTGACTAGAAAGTTCTGAAGGTGACTATAATAGGGAGAGCAGAAGAGGTGGACACACATGCTGACCCCATTTGCAGACATTCCTGAAGGACCAATAGCGTTGCATCCAGCTGAGATCTCTGGCAGGGCAGCCACTCGCATGCCTACCCTGGACTTCCTTGCAAAGCCAGTGAGGACACAGGACTGCAGGAAATGGACAGAGACCTTGTTGCTGAGTCAGTGGAAGGTGTTTTATTACGAGGCACGCACAGTTACAGAACACAAGTCAGAAACGCCACAGGCTACGCAAACGCAAACACAGAAGTGGGCCTTGTTCTCAGATTCCTCCAGAAGGGGCACGGTTGACGGGGCAGGTGATCTCTGGTCCCTGCTCTACCTTAGAGAAGCATCCACCTACTCCTGGTTAGTTTACATTCAAAGTATTTGAAGCCACTTTTAATATCCATAATTTCTCCACCATTCTAGCTGCAGGATCAGATAGGAATTAAATTTCCACCTACAAGGCTTGTGTTTCTTTGTGGAGTATCATACATCTCAAATAGCATGCAAGAGCCCCGGGTATAATATATGTTTGATTTATTTCAACCCCAAGCGTTGCCGCACTGACGTCGCTTCAGTAGCAAAGCAAATGGGACTCGGGCCATTACCTGGATCCAGATGTGAAAAAAAGGAAGAAAGAAAATGTATTTTTAATCTAAAGATTGGTACTACACACATCAAACAATGCAGCCCCATTTACTAGGTAATCTGGAATGACAATTCAAATATCCCTAGGGACAGAATTGGTTCATAAACAAGGCTAATTTCAGCCACAGAATTATATTTTCCAAAGCAGTTCTTCTCTTACAATCCCCAAGGTCAAGGAAGAAAGAAGAAAAGACGGGGGCGGGGGGGGGCCAACCATTCAAAAGCATCCAGAGCTGGTGTCAATTGGGTGATGACAAAGCAAAGACAGTACAATCAGGAACCGCAGCTCAGGGTGCTCCAGTCTGAAGGGTGCTGGGCTTGCGTTCTGCTCTGGGTGCTTCTCCGTTCCACCTGCTGTGCTCTGTCTTGGGGACCCGCAACCTTCTCCTCCTCATGGTCCTTCAGCAGATCCAGGACACCTGAGAAGATGGTCCATCCTCCAGATAAAAAGTAGAACCTGTGGAAGGACACACAGGAAAAGGCCTGTCATGCTGGGGCCCAAACCAACTGACAGCTAAACGCCGATGTAGTCAAGGGCAGAGGGAAGAGTGACATTCCTCACCTCCTCCAGGCTGGTTTCCTGCCGCCTCTGCAGGAAGGTGGCTTCATGCTTGGGAGCAGCTAGTGGCGTGGAATCTTTGAGATGCTGTCGTGAGTGCATCCGGGTATCCATCACCTCTCGGGCCACGATCTCTCTGTTGACAAGAACATAAATCAATTCCCCTGCATCACTGGCCTATGGAACCTTGAGGAGAGGGAGACACAATAGAGCAACACAGACACACGGAAAGGAGGGGAGGGAGGACAGGAGACAATAAACTCAGAAAGGATACTCTACCTGACACCTGTCCCTGGGGTTCCCCTGGGCAGCCGGGTGCCGACGGGAGGCTTGAAGTGCTTTCTAGGAGTGCGCAGAGGTCTCAAAGGTCTGAAAGGTCGGGAAGCATCATTCCACTGCCGGGCGGGCACCTGAGCCCAAAACTCAGCTCCTCGAGAACCTCAGCCAGCCTCGCCCCAACTCTCCCGAGTGGGTCCTGCCACTGAGATACTATATAACAGAGAGCAAAACGCAGTGGATATTAGCCAGGGGTGGCAGCGGGCAGGGGGACAGGCAGGGCAGGAGGGGCGTCAACCACCACTTGGGCTTCTCTTTAGTGAGTTCAATCAGCTTCCAACTCTCCACTTGCCACCAGGTGACAAATCTCTAAGAGTGTCCCCCGGGCCAGTAGTCCACACCCTTTGGTTCAACCAAAGCATCCTTTGGCTCCTGAAGGAAGCTTCTGTCACAGTCAGGCTCCCTGCCTAGGGCAGCAGAGCTCCAGACCTGGAGAGAGACAGGCACCTGGCTCCACATCTGCCCCTCCTCTCCCAGAGCCCAGGGCCACTCCTCTGTCCTTCACAGGACCTGCGTCCCCAGAATACGGGGTAAGGAGCACACCAGAAAGAATGGGGCTGAGAACCCCTGGAACTTGGAGAGCTACCAGGAAGGCAGAGAGAGGAAGGCATTCCAGAGACACTTATCCAAACAAACCTAGCTGCCAGTGGGTAGGCGCTGGAGGGGGTAGTTTGTCCTGGGCACACGTAATAAAGAGGGCACATTGTCTGTAGAGAATTTAAAAGTAATAATAAAACTAAGAGCCAGTGTGCTTTTCACTACGACCATGCACTCACTGGCAACTCTAAGCAGTATGGGTGGCAAAATACTCCTTGCCGCCCAGACAGACCCCCTACTCCTTGGCCTTATCTCGCCAGAGCCTTTGCTTGTGCCCCTTCCTCCACCAGAAATCTGCTTCCCCCAATCCCACCAGCCATATCCCACCCACTTCCAAGATCCATTTAAATGCTATGTCTTCAAGGAAGACTCTCACATGACGCCCCCTGGCTGGGGGGGTCATCCCTTCCCCATCTTAACTCCGAGGGCAGCTTATTTACATCTTTCATTTCTACCTTACACTAGAGTTAAACATGCAAAAGTGTTATCTTGCCTACTAATGGCCATGAAGATGCAGTGGAAAGTGTATAGGATTTGGAATCAGGCCTGGGTTAGAACTGCAGCTCTCACACTGAACTAGCTGTGTGATGGTGGGCTGGTTATTAAACCTCTGTAGCTTGTTTCCATGTCTATAAACTGGAGAGACTCTCCCCTCTGTCACAGGGCTAGGCAATTAGAAAATGCACACAAAATGTCCAGCCTGAGATAATAGACGCTCTAAAGTTATTTGTTTCTCTACTCTCCTTAAAGACAGAATCTTATTCTTTTGTCCTCCCTTCGCCACTCCTGCAGGACTTCCCAAGATGTCATAACAGGTGGAAGGTATAGAAATGTGGAGAGTATTAAAAATGAGGGTATAGAATACCTACCACATAGGCCTGTTTGGAGATTAAGTGAGGGAATGCTTGTTAGGCTCTTAGATCAGAACCTGGTACATGATATGAATGACAGAAATGTATGTGAAATAAAACAGTCTTGTGAGTTCACATACAACTCCTTGACTCCATGAAGCACTCCAAATACAGATTATCAAGACCTTGCTTCCTCTGCTTCAAACACCCTCCCACCTTCCCCAAATAGAAATATCAGAGGTAAACGGAGATGGTAGAGTGTGTAGAAAATCACATAATGTCAGCGCTAACGTACCGTTTCCCCCTTTAGATAACTAATGCATACTAAGAACACACAACGTGCCAGGTATGTTACCAAGAGTGTCTTATCTAACCCTCCTCTGAACCCTATGAGGAGCTGCCTGACTATCCCTATTTGACAGAAGCAGCAACTGAGGCACAGAGGGGTTAAGTTACCGGCCTGTGGATGCACAGCCTGTGAGGATGGAAGCGTTCTGTGCCCTCTGGTTCAGGAATCACTGGCCACCATGGCTGCCAAGCTCTTGAAAAGTGGCTAATTCAAGGAACTGAACTTTAACTTATACTTAATTTTAACTAATTTCATTTTAGTCACACATGCCCAGTGGCTGCCAGATTGGCGAGTGTGGGTCTATCATATCTAAAGACCTCACAGCGGCCCTTGTTTGATGTTGGCGTCAACATGATTTGCCCCAGACATGAAGTCAAGGCAGAACCTTCATCAGGGGCAGCGGGGCTGTGCTATTTACAGAGCCTGGGCTGTGGAGCAGACACACTTGACTTTGAAATGCAGGTTCTATCACTTACTGGTTGTGCCACAGCACATTAGTTCACCATCCTGTGCATCTGATCTCTTTTCGGTTAAGGAGGCACAGTAATACCATTTCTAGGGTTAGTGCGATCCAGTAATACAGCATCTGAGAGCATTTGAAGAGTGGGGAAGGGAGGACAAAGATTAAAAAAGTAAGATTCTACCTTTAGGAAGAGATTCTAGTGTTTATATATGTTTTCCCCTCATGCCCTGACTTTAGAACTTAATCACCACCCCTCCCCAAGGTAAATAAGGGTCCTTAATGTCAGTCCCCCTGAACCAAGTTCTCGTGTCCAGGCTACTATGATGGCGATGTGTATAACTGCATGGCAGCAGCAGCCGGCTCCAGGAAGAGCAATTGAGGACTCTGCAGTTTCTGTATCCTCCCAGCCTCACTTTCTCCACACCTCCTTCAGAGACCCCAGCACAGCCGCTGTCCAGCTCCCGCTCATCGGGGGTCTGGGTTTCCCTCTGCAGGGCCCACCGGCTAGGTATTTAAGTTTGCATCATGCTAACGTCTCCCCTCTGTCCCCCAGCCCTAGAGGCACAGCTGCAGTCACCCCTCTGGAGTCTCAGTTTCCCACCTCACCTCTTGGATTGTCCACTACTGGTTAACAAGGGACGGGGTTCAGGACACGTTCTGCCAGCGTATGGTACCTTGCATACTGAATATGTGCAGCTGAAGGAGTTTGAGAAAACAGCTGCAGCGGTAAGCTCACTCTGCCCTCCTCCCCTCTCACTTCTTCCCTGAAACAGATCATAAAACATTCCTGAGAGAGGTGCCCTCCCTACACCCAGAGAAAAGGAGCATCCTCATCTCCAAAGACAAAGGGATGCAGAGAAGAACCCCAGCAAACAGGCCTTGCTAAGTTCCCTCAGGTCACTGCGCTGACCTCATACTCCTAACCTGTCATATTCCTCCACCACAGCCCACCTGTCACCACACACAGCACAGAAATACGCAGGTCTGTTTCTTCTGGTCTTCATTTCCTTATGAAGGCTCCATGTCAGGTAAAACGCATATTAATAAATGTGTATGCCTTTCTCTTGTTAATCTGTTCTTGTCCCTTTAATTTTCAGACCCAGCCAGGGACCCTAAGAGGGCTGAGGAAAATGTTTTTCTCCCTGCACAAGTCTTCCTACTAATTCCTCCTGCTAAAGTAACTTGTGTAGCTTCTGTCTCCTGATCCAACCCAGCCTGAGACACCCTTTCCTCTCCCTCTTCCAGGGATAAACTGTCACCCTGCACATAAGGATGTACAAGCATGTCTACTTTTTCCCAGATAAAAGACATAATAAATTATCAACATATTCTGACATCTCTATTCTATATTCTCTCTGCCCAGCATCTAAATGCAGGACAGAAAAAGAAGTCAAGCACATGAAATCATATAATTTGACAGATTAGAGAGAGTAATCAAGCCCATCTCCATGAATGAAGATCCGCACTGGGGACTCCTTGCAGGGGTGTGAGCCAAAGCCGGGGGCCCAGCGACCTGTGTCTGTGGACATATATTTATATATACACAGATCTATAGGTACATGTTTATATACACACAGATCTGTATGTACACATGTTTACATATACACATATCTATATGTACATATGTGTATATATACATATATATATATACATACACATAGATCTGTGTGTACGTAAAATTAAAGCATTTGCTGAAATGGCTGAAGTGACTGGAGCTGGAAAATGGTAGTTTTCTACTAAGTTTTAGTTCCCCAGGAGTAACCCTAGGAGAAGGATTTGAGAGCTAATAGTTGATGGGGGCCGTATTGGAAACACCAGTGGGAGGACAGGGAAAGGACAGCGACCAGTAGACGGTGTCGCTGGGCCAGCTGTGGGTGATGTGGACACTGGGGCTCGAGCCCACAGGGACTCTGGAGAACAGCTGAGAATCATGTACCTCAAAACTACCCCGGGCTCCATCAGCTGCTGGTTGAGGATGCCCCTCAGGAAGAGGTGACATCCAGAGATTCCTGGACTGCCGTGCTCAGATGGTTTTTGGAGAAAACCCTCCTGCAAAGAGATGCAACTAATGGCAGATGGAGGTTGGCCTCTGAAAGGCCTGATGGATGAGGGCGGGACCCCGGCATCCTCTGCCACATTTATGGTGCTGATGAGAGCCATGGCCTGGAAAGGGGGAGGCGGGAGGGAAGACTGAGGAAACTGCCATCTATGAAGACCTGAAGTGACGGGGTGACACTGAAGCCAGGACCACAGGCTTTCTCCTGCAGGTTCCTCGAGGGCTTGTGCCCCGGCGGCCAAGGGAGGGGTGTCCAGGCTCCCAGCTGCAGCAGACAGGAGGCAGGAGGCAGTTTGGAGTGAGGGTTCAGGCAGTGGTGGTTGCTCAGTTAGGACGCCCGTGGACTCACTCACTATGCCCAGGCTGCAGGCCACATCGGGGCTTGCAGGTAAGATTGGCCCCACGTGGATGTGAGACCATCACTTGATCTGTGGCATGAAGTCCTGATTCATCCACAGGAACCATCACAGAAGGATGAGAGCAAGACTGGCTGGGGATGCGATGGGTCAGCCTGTCCTTCAGCACCTCAGCTGGGCCGGGGAGGTGGGGTGACCAGCGAGCAGTGGGGATTCGGCCTGGTGTCCTTCTGTATTTACAAAGGATGAGACTGACAGCGCTGGCGGAGTGGGCCAGGGTGGCTGTGGTCAGTGCCTCTGAAGTGGATCTGCTGTGGAACAGGCTCATCTGCTACCGTGTTGTCTGTATGCGCCCTCCCAGGAGAGCTGGCAGATCTATATATGTACCTATAGATCTGTGTATATGTAAATATATGTTCCTATAGATCTGTGTATATATAAATATATGTACCTAT